GAGATCTGCAGACCAAGACAGGAAAAACTCTACGTTTCTATAGTGTTGACACTGTAGTTATGAACCTTTATTTTCAGAGTTTGTTGGTTTTAGTTCTTTCATGAAATTGCTTGAAGCCAAGGCAAAACTTTCTAGGGTTCTGAGCTTGATCTTCTCTATTTTAAAGTCATTTTAACAACAGCAGGAACTAGCTCCAGATATGCGCACACAAGAAACCTGAATGCTTCCTGGCACCCACTTCTGCATTCACTTGCGTCAGAGTTGTATTTGCAGAAGGGAAACATGTTCATTTGCAGTATGACCCATAACTCCCCAGCTGTGGGAACATTTTCCCAGTTCGCCTAGCAAACATGTGACTCGGGTAGGTGTGCATATGGATTTCACACACATACTTCTTTCATGTACACACAAGTATGTTCCTAATTTGAAAAACTGAATGCATAAAGTGTTTGCTGGCAAACAGCTATGCATTAATTTTAATTTTAAATGCCATGATGTGCGTAAAAACCTGGATAGCTTCAAACTGGGAAAATAAAAACAATGCTCTCATAGTTTTGAAAATAAGCCATCGTGCAACCTCCAGATTATGAAGATCTTCAGGCATTCTTGACATCTTCATAATCCCCCCAGCTTCAATGAGTAATGGTTGCTGAATGATGACTTTAAAGCCAACAGTCTACCTCAACACTGAGGAAGGGGTGGGGTGCTCAGGGGGATCAGACGGGTTGCCAGCACCCCACCAGCAATGCCTTTTGCCAGGCGTGACACTGTTCAAGTAAGAGGTCCCACTGCCATGCAACAGGGACATCTGCATCAGGGTTGGAGCCTGCCCTGCTGCATCCCAGCACGCACAGACATAGCAGGGGCTGCCATGGGGGAATTAGTAGGGTTAGTTCAGGCACGTTCCTCAGAAAGACTTCCTTAAACTTGGCTGCTGCAGTGTTTGGGATCATTGGAAGAACTGGACTCCCTTCCAGCTCTCTCATTATTTGTTGAGTTTCCAGCACTGGGCTTCTGACACTGGACTTCCTTCCTCTCTAGATCTGTCTGCTGAGCAGGTCGGTGTCAGGGTAACAAGATGGGAACATCATTATCCAGACCTGATTTTGCCCAACCTCTGTCATCTGAAACATGTTCAAGGATCACAACCCTATTTCCAATTCAAGGGAATTCCAGATGAGCTGGCTTGGAGCTATCACGCAAAAAGGAAGAAAAAAAGTGCTAGAAGGGTTTAAGCGTCTCCCAGATTCCTTCAAAAATTACATCTCTGATATAGAATAGCACAGACAGCCGTGAAGAAGCCACAGTTATAGAAAGTCTCCCCTCTGTCCTTACCTCCTCTGCCTGGAAGTGGGGTGGGAGTTGTATTCCTTGCACTGCTGCCTGAGTGGAGAGCTTGTGTGGCCTTGCAACGTTTTTGCTGTCGGGAGGCCACTTTATTTACATAAGACATGAATGATGAACTCTTTGCCTGAAAACTGGAGTTAAAAACCCAAGAAGAGGAAGTGTTGTGCCTCTGGCTCCAGTAGCCCATCTAGTAAAGTTGAGCATGAGGAACCTCCTCAGTGTCACCCTCACAACGCTTTCTCCACTGCTTCTCCTGTATTTTTGTTCTCACATGCACGCACAGACCACAAACCCCTTTCCCTTTGCTTAGGCACCCAGGCAGCGCCTCGGACATCACTGCTGTGTTCCTGACCTGGACATGCTTTAGTGCTCCTTGTCCCAGGAGGCAGATTTTGTGTTTTCCAACCCCTTCACTTCTTCCAGTTCACTGAGTTGCTTCTTCCACTTAGCCCCTTGACTTTAGCTGAGCCCACAGTCCCCTGCAGATCAAAGACCTATTCAACAGCAGCTGTTAGCATTATCTTGCCTGACAATTTATTTATATAGCATGAGTGAAAGGGGCCCTAATCTAGTTCAGGCATTTACATGCTGTTAAAATACAAAGGGTAAAAGATGATTCTTTGACTTGTCTGAAGGGGTCCACTTTTCACAGCAGACCCTTTCAGAAGAGCAAGTGATGGAGACTTTTGACAATCTCTGTCTGTGCTGTAGGTCTTTCTAGCAACTAGAGACAGGAGTTTGGAAGTTCTGAGTGCTCTGCCCATCTCACTGCACAGCCTGGCTTCCTCGCAAATAGTCACACCGAAAACTACAATTGCAGTGTGGGTATTTACAGATTAGGTCAGAAACATCACTGCCAGGAGAACCTTGTAGCTGAAATTAGGAGTTTGTACTCCGTCATGCACTGGAAACCACTAGAGATCAGCAGCTGACTTTGGAGTAACAGTTTTCTCTGTTGCAAACCAGAATGTTCAATAGCTGCACACCTGATTAAACACCTGGTTTTATTTTCTGTTCCTGTTCCTGCTGCATGAACCTGTATTTCAGAAACTATCCTTGCAGGTGTGATTAGCAGACCTGAGGCAAGGCTGAGGATGGTAATGTTGGCAAGGGTGCCAGCGAAGAAGTCTCACGGCACCTCTTCTTTCTCTCCCTTAGTTCAGCAGCCAGAAGTTGCTCTTGGGATACACAAAGACTCAGGGTACACAAACACAATTATGAGCCGGCGCTCCTAGGACAGGGAAGCACAGATATCAGTTATCAATCACACTGTCTCCAGGAGGGGAGACGATCTGGGAGACCGTTTGCCTTGGGCTTGTGCCTTAGCATCTCTTGCACTATCTTCTTTTTACTTTTATTTTCAACATTAAAACATCACGTCTGTTTTCTTACAGCTCCAAGGTGGAAGGAGGGGGGAGGAAGAGGCAGTGAAGACTGCTATAAAGACTTTTTCATACCAGGGACCAATATATTGGATGGTGGCCCTGGGAAACTTTATTATTTACCTCTGCTGGAATGGGAGAGGAAAATAGCTGGAACAAGCACAGTTCTTGGATACACGCAGTGCAGTTGTCTATACAAGGCAGTTCCACGGGAGCCCCCCTGGAGAACCAGACACACTCAGCAAACACGGCCGAACACACAGTGTGTCAAAGGAGAAGTGTGAGGCATTAAACATTTCCTTTCTCTAATACCTTTTCACAACATGACAGAAACCATCTGAATATTTTTTCCCTGCAAATTTTCTTAAATTACTTAAAAAAAAAAACTTAGAGACACATTTCCATTCGCAGCAGCACTGACTCTTCACTGATTCATGAAGAAAAAATATGAAATAATTGGTAAGAGCTTATCCCTTGGGCAAAAAGAGATGCCTGATTTTATAACTCGGCCTAGTGACTTGGGCACGGAGCTACGCAGGAATGTGAGTGCTATGGCAGCCGTCATTGCAACATCTGATTTTTGCATGTCTGTCCTTTCCTCCCCATCCTTCTCTGACGTACCTGAAGCTGCTGGAACCAAACAAGCACACTCATTCACTATGCCTGGCACCTGGGAATGGGATTTAAAAAAAAACACCAACCCAAACATCCAGGGTGTTGTATGTGAGCTACCTGAATTAGCTAGTGAGAAATGCTGGAGAAAAGGGTGTGTTACAGCCTGATCCTGTCTAGGGCTTAGGTGCCTTGTTCAGGTTTAGCGGGACATGCTTCTTTTCACTCTGGATTCACAGCCCTGAATTATAGCTTAATTATAGCTTTCCACCTTGCCTTAATTAACATGAGAAATGAATAGACCTCTCTTCAGTCTGCTTTTTCTCCACCCACCCGTTATCCCTGAATAACCCATCGTCTGTGGGTTCCCACTCTCCCCAGGCGCAGGGTTGCATTCCTACCGGGGAGGAGGGATCCACGCAGCCTGGGTGCGGCTGCAAATGAAGGAGGGCTGGGGTCTCCTTCTGCCGTCTTCTGGAGGGAAGGGCATGTGTTTTGCATAGTCCAGTGCGAGGGGCATCGTCTGAGAGACGCTACTAAACCAAGGCTAGCTTGTCCAGGGACAATCCCGTATGTAGGTCCCACCCACGCGGGCGAGGTGAGTCCCAAATTGCCCAGCCCACATTAACCTGGGGCACTTGTGTGTACCTGGGAGCAAACCCCCGGTGTCAGAAGTGAATGGCATCGCTTCAGAGAGGAGCAAGATGCCCCATTTAGGGACCCACATGACTCACATGGCCAAAATGAATGGGAATAATAACCTCATTGGCCACCCCAACCTCCCCAAATTGTTGCTCCCGCATACACCAAATGGTCCAGAACCACTGGAGTTTTCAGCCCAGGTTAGGAAGGAGCCAGAGCTGCTCTGCAAGAAGCAGAAGCCAAGACAGTCCAAGAGGTACTTGGTGTCTGTAGAGTCACATCGCTGTGGGGCAGCACCCCAGGCCTGCTGGTGCCATCTCCAAGGTGGCAATGTGAAAGCTGTGTCCTCTCCGCTGCGCAAATAGGAGCCTCGAGCCCCTCATCGGGCACTGAGTTGCCTCCTAGGAGGAAAGCGAGCATGGGATAAACAGCAAAACGGTCAATGTGGCCTCCACGGCCCTTAAAAATTTGTAATCAAAGGTTAAAGAAAACAGTTTCAAAATGTGCAGAAGTACCCATGGCAATCACCACCTTCATCCTACAAAGCCATGAAACGACTTGGATTCTACTTTCATACAATTGAAATGTAGCCACCTTGGGGCCACCTATTAGTTTTAATACGTTGTATATATATAAAAACAAACCAAAACAAAACAAACAAACAAACAAAAACAAACAAACAAACAAAAAAGAAACCCGTAGCTGGGAAACCCGAAGTTGTATTTCCGTTTAACGCTTCCCTGCCGTTGATCTCCCTCGCCCCCCTCGCTGTCCCCCGGCAGCGCAGACGGCGGCTGCCACCGCCGCGCGGAGCGCCCCGAGAGACCCACGGCTCACCCGGGACGTGTCCGTGGGACGGTCGGGACCTCGGGACCTCGGGACACCCCCCCCCGTCACCTCCGGCCACGCGCACCCCCCCCCCCCCCCAACACTCCCCCGCGCGGCGGCAGCGGGCGGCACCCCCAGGTGCGCCCCGCCCCGGCGCGGCCCCGGGGGGGCGGCCGCGGCTCCTCGCCCCTCCCCGCCGCGCCGGGAGCTCGCCGCCCCCCGGCTGAAGTCCGGTGCCGCCGTGCCGCGCCGCGCCGTGCCGCGCCGTGCCGCGCCGGGGGTGCCGTCACTCAGCGCTTCCAGCATGCTCCTAAGATGGCGGTAGCGGCGGCGGGCGGCGGCGGGGGCGGCCGGGCGCAGCGCAGCGGCTGGCTGGAAGTTTTGGTGCGGGAGCGCTGGCACAAAGTGCTGGCCAACTTGGGCGGCGAGGCGCTGGTGCTGAGCGGCGAGGAGCGCCCCGACGGCGCGGCCCACAACGGGCTGGGCGGCGATGGGGCGGTGTGCCGGGGGGCCGAGGGCGGAGGGGGGGCGGCGGCGGTGCGCACCGCCTTCACCGACCCCCCCGAGCAGGTGCCCGAGGCCGTCTCCAACAAGAAGCGGTGCGTGAAGGTACTGAAGCAGGAGCTGGGCGGGCTGGGCATCAGCATCAAGGGGGGCAAGGAGAACAAGATGCCCATCCTCATCAGCAAGATCTTCAAGGGTCTGGCGGCCGACCAGACCCAGGCCCTCTACGTGGGCGATGCCATCCTGGCCGTCAACGGCACCGACCTGCGGGATGCCACCCACGACGAGGCGGTGCAGGCGCTCAAGCGGGCCGGCAAGGAGGTGCTGCTGGAAGGTAGGGGCCGGGGGATGGGGGGGGGACTGGGGACCGGGAGCAGCTCGGCCGCCAGCACGCCCCGGGGCGGGAGCCTGCGGGGCGGCTCGGCTCGGCTGCCAAAGGGCGGTGAAGAGGTGCCCCCGTACCGCTCCTCCGGGCGTCTTTCCTGCGGGCAGAGTTTATTTCCCCCCCTACCCCGAGCCTCGCCGGGGCTCCCGACGGCATGCGTTCAGGACGTAGCCCCTCGGGAAGGGGCGAGCGGGCAGCCGGGGAGCTGGGCTTGAACTTTCCGTCCTGCTGGCGGCTGCCCGAGCCCCCCCCCCCCCCCCGCCCCGTCCGTGTGCGGCCGCCCGACCCCCCCCCCGCCCCGTCCGTGCGCGGCCGCCCGAGCCCCCCCCCCCCCCCGCCCCGTCCGTGCGCGGCCGCCCGAGCCCCCCCCCCGCCCCGTCTCGTCTCTTCGGCCGCTCGGCTCCCGGGCTGAGGGCTCACGGTGGGAGCCTGGCCGATCCCCGCCGGGGCAAGGAATCTTCAGGATCTGCCTCCTCGACGTTTTCGTAGCTTTTCAGTCTAAGAAACGTGCGGGCGCTTGGGTGCTGGGAAAGGAGGGGTTAAAGGACTAAAGAGGCCCCCTCGGGCCATAAGTGAAGGGCTTGAGGGACTTTTCCCGAGCCAGCCTGAAATGCCTGAAACCTCCCGCTGTCCAATTCTTCCTTTACTTCTTCCGCCATCCCGCTCCCGACTAGGGAAAAGGGGGAAAAGAGGCTTGAATGAAGCTGGCAGTCCTTCGTGAACACATTAACCATCCCCTGCAAAGCTGTCATTTCCTTTCTCAAGGGTTACTGAAACAGTTTTGTAAGAAGTAGCCTTAGAAACTGAGCCCGGAGTAAGAAGCAGACATTGATGTGCGTGGAGGAGGCATGGAGGGAGGGTGTTCCCGCAGGATGGGTCAGATGTTGAGGAGGGCGTGGGCAGAAGCAGATCCAGGTTCCCCCGGACAGTGAGTTCATGAGAAGAGAGGCAGATTCACAGATGTTTAATCCTTGCCTTCTCACAAGGACTAATTTACTTGCTCCACCTGAGAGAATGAACAGTTTCAGAAATGCCCTTGGCGCGTGTTTGATAAAGTGATTACATATTTGTCGAGAAGTCATTTAACCGGAGGTCAGTGGCATTTGAGGCATGCTGCTGCACCTTCTTTCCCTGTGCCGTCGCCTTCCTCTGAGCCACAGGCGCTCCCGCCTCGCCGTGCCTCTAGCCCTTTTGGTACTGCACGTTTTTTCACGTGTGTCTTTTTGGTGCTTATTCTGAGGAGCAAAAGGGGTGCTGCTGCTGCTTGGGAGGTGCAGCTGAGGATCAGCCGCAGACAGCTATGACATAAAGTTACAGAAAAAGTTTGAAGGGGACGTAAGGTGAGAAAAATTCATCTGCAGTAGTGTATGCTGAGAAACTATTTGGTGTTGTCCACATGACAGTGAAAACATCAAAGGAGTTAGTGCCTGGGGAGGATTTAAGAAGCTGAGGGCGATTATGTCTCCCTTCCCTGTGTGCCCCACGCTGCTTGTGGGACCAAAGTGCATCTCGTCCTCCCTCACGGCAGCCAAACTGCTTGCGAAGATACCTGTGAAGTCTTAATCTGAACCTCTCTTTGAGGTCTGAATTGAGGCTGTTTCATCTAAATTCGGTCACTGGTTTGTTTACACAGTTTACGGGCTTCCTGGGGTGCAGGCCAGGCAACGGCTGACCTTTGGTGTGAGCTAATGAGTAATGTACATAGTGCTTGCAAGAGTCTCCCTCCCTCCATGTAATGCCTGCAGGAACAGCACCTGAACACACTGCTGCTGTATGAGCCTTAAAAAAATCTTGGTTTTCTTACTGGTAGCAGCAAAAATGAAGCCCTGTCAGTGTGGACTTTTAGCATCCTCCTTCTCTCCACTCCTTTCTTCATCACAGCAATTTTCTTGAATTTCTTTGCTCTGAGAAGGCTGATGTGCCTCAGTGGTTGTTTCTGTGATTGAAGAGTGTATTTCAATAGTCATCCCTATGTAGAGTTAAAATATTCTGACACTCAACTAATTTTTTTGTCCTGCCTTTCTCTTGCTATTCCAGCAGAGTAACCAAAATGAGAATTGGCCGCGGCATTGCCCCGGGAGGCGCTACTCCTTCAGCGGGGACCCTCTCTACGTGAATGGCTTGTGTAAACAGGCAGTTTAAAACAATTCTCTGCAATTCAATTTTCCCCTTGGAAACTCTTTCTTCAGTAGCACAGTCTAAAACGGTCTTTTTATTACTAAAGGAAGGAAAATTCAAAAGTTTCTTTTTTCCCTTCAAAGTATAGGAAGGAGAGGCTCGATTTTCCTTTCCTTCCAGACAGTAGGAATTTGCCATTTCCTGACTTCTTAGAGAGTTTTGTATTGCAAAAAGCAGCCTTCGTTGGGGCAGGGCAAGACCCCTGTGCAGATCTTCTCTAGGGTCTTTCTCCAATTAACAGAGCAATGCCAGCATGTGTTCCCAGGGTCAGAATGTAACATTTACATTTTCAGAGAGATTCTGAGACTTACTGGTGACTTCCAGACAAGGAAAGCCGAATTTGCAAGGGCATGGCAAGGTGCGAAGCACAAGGGGCGTATTTCATGGTGCAACAGGGCTCGGGGTATTGTCCAATGTGTTGTGCATTCCTGGAAAGGGTCTTATAGTTGAGAATTTCCTAGAGGTTATCAGCAGTGAAGATGTGGTCAGATGGTTCAGTAGACCCAACATCAGAGTGCTGGAGTCGTCTGTTATATAGTGTCCTTCCTAAAATTGCTTGCTTAGTGAGACGAGGCATTTACCAGCTCAGCACTAAACTGTAGTCTCTCCTGCATTCCTGTGCAGGGAGGGAGTGGAAAATCCCTCCCCAGCCCTCTGCACCGTGTGCGGGTGGCAGGCTGGCACTGGGGTGAGTGGCTGGAGGAAGAAGATCTGTGAAAAGAGGAGGGATGGGGCAAGGCTTCATTTTGTTACTTTCCCCTTTTGCTGCATTAATCATCATCTCTGAGCTGGTAGATACGGAAATTATTTGCCAAAGGGTTAGGGGTGGCATAGCTGCAGTAGCTGTGCTGGTGTGGGGTGGCACAGCTGTAAAACCCAGTGGGAGAGGTCCTCCTCCAAGTTTTGTAGGCATCCTAGGTTGTTCTGTTCTCTCATTTTCTACCCTGAAGGACATCAGTGTGTCACAGTCCAGCTACTAAGCTAAAGTTGTGTAAATACATTCTTTCATACAGGTCTGATCTGTGGGATTGTCCAGGGTGCCTTGAAAGCAGATAGGACTTGATAAATGGAAGGGAAATAAGGCAACAGGCAACACTGCTGTAGAAGGAGCTGTAAGGCAGAAACTTCAAGAGGAGAAGGAGGTTATGTTGAGGAAGGACTTGAGCCCTAAGAAATCCTGCTCTCTCCTCATCTGCAGGGAAGGACCTCTTCTGCCTGCAGGGTTTAATTTCCTGTGAGCTTTCCATCACAGCTTTGGCATGGGTGCAGGGGAGCAAAGCAGACAGTGAGCAGGGCCAGGGCAAGTGCTAGTGTTGGGCTTGTGGGCCCTGGATGGCTTCTCAGGTGTTCAGTACATCAGGATGGAGCTTCTCATCAGCATTCAGGAGAGCAAAAAATTCCCCCATATGAGAGACAAGGCAGCCTCCTTGTACAGTGCATATTTTCAGGAGTGGAAGGCAGCTAAAATTGTCACGACAGCGATTGTTTGTACATATAATTTCCCTGCAGTTCTGTTAATTTGGGTCTTCTTAAATAAGCACTTTGGAAAATCAAGCAGCCCCTCTTGTGCTGTGAGGAGCACATTACGTTCAAGTGACTTTCAAGACACAAAAAGTGTTTGTTGGTATCAAAACATCCTAGATGAGAGCAGTCACTTGGCACGCTCTGTAAGCAAGCCAGTTGTACTTCACTCATATTCTCTGTGTGTTTGGTGAAGAAATGAAAAACTGAATCAGCCTGTGCTCATGTCAAACAGGACCTCTCTGCACGATGCTGTATTTGGATGTGGAGAAAAAAGAAAAAACAAAACAACACGTTAGTGTGGTTTTTGCTAGCTGGCTGCAGGATATTTTTTTAGATCACAATTTTTAGACTTCCTCACTTGTTAAATGTGTGTGGATGAGCTTCTGATGGTGATGGTGGCAGGTACAGAGTGGGAGGAGCATCTTCTTAGTGTTGCTAGTTTCTTACTGGTTTTGAGTGATTTTTGGTTAAGCTAACACAATTGCAAGGTAGGGCTTACAACTCCCTTCAGAAACGGCTCTTGCAATGTCTCTGGATTTGCAGGAATTTCCCACAGAGAGGCAGCCCCCTGCATAGTGAATTTTAGCATATGGACAGTAGGATATAGTCATATTCTGCAGCCCTCTTGGGAGTAATCCACAGCTTTAAAACAATGTAAGAGTAAGTGTGGTGCAATCTGCACTGTAGTAACATGTATTATTTTCCAAGTAATATTTTCATAAGAATTATAAGAATTATCCCCTTCCTACCCTTTTTAAATTTTCTTTGGGTGAAGCAAAACAATTCTGCCTGTGTGAATTACATGTTGAAATAGTGCAAAATAGGCACGAGCTGCTTGTTGGCTGTATTTTTCTCTTATCTATATTTTCGTGTTTCTTTTGGTAAAGTAGTGTCAACAGGAGATTTCTGGGGGTTAACAAAATACAATATTTATCCAAGAAAGAGTGACTCTTGCAATTGTAGGGAAAAATATGAGGCACAGGGCACTTAATAAGTGCCTATGTGACTTAACTACTTACTACAGTCAGGGTTGTAAATGTCAGTGATTGCAAATTGTATGCATAGTTATTCCTTACACCTCCAGTAAACCTATGGAGAAAACACTGAGAAAACACTCTACTTTTTTTTTTTTTTAATGTTTTCTGCTTTTTTTTTTTTTTTTTTTTTTTTTGCAACTATACAGTTAGGGAAATGCTTTGGGCTATACTGCATTTCATAGCCTGTGTAGCTGCCCTTGGCACACTTCA